GCCCCCGCCCCGCTCCACGACAGTGACGTGGAGCCCGACCCACCGCCACACCACCATCCCCTACAAGACACCAAGACGCACATCTTTCGCAAAGTATGTATTTCTATCAAGCAAACAAAACATGACAGTCAGTATAAACTTCAGAATAAGTTTCTTCGCGAGCTCTAAAACTGAACTATCGTGTCTTTCACGATATCATTGATTTTTTAAGCTTATTCCGTTGCTTCACATACACATAAACGTACTGTTAAATAAAATACAATAAAATGAAAACTTTTATTAATTGCACACTATGTTTCCCCAGGTTTTTACACCAAAAAAGAGCGACGAGTGCGGCGGCAAGGGAGGTAAAGGCGGCAAAGGCAAGGGCGGTAAGGGCAAGGGCCAGGTCACCATCATCGAGGTCACCGCGCCCGACGCAGACGACGAGGAGCGCCGCAACCACGAGGCACTCGCCCGACTGTCGCCGCCGCACGACGCCAGGCGACACGACGACCGACACGACCGACACCGTCGCCGCTCCGCCGACCGACTCGACCGACCTGCCAACGACAGAATACCCATCGACCGACCCCCCAGCGATCGAACGATGGACCGGATACCCGACCGGACCTCCTACGAGAGAATACCCTCCGATCGAATCGTCAACGATCGGATACCGACTGAACGCACCTCCAACGATCGGATACCCGATCGACCGGTCGATCGGATATCGACAGAGCGAACTCCGACCGACCGCGCTTCGGACCGATCGTCATCTGCCAGCGAACGGTTATCGGTGGATCGGTTATCCGGCGGACTGTCGTCAGATCGGCTCGCGGATCGGCGGTCGTCAGAGCGAGTGCCGAGCGACAAGATGTCCATCGACCGCCTCCCGACCGACAGGGTCGCCCTCGACCGACTGTCGGGGGACCGGCCCCACGACAGGATATCTGCCGACAAGCTCTCACACGACCGACTGGCCGACACCAAGGGTAGGTTGGGGGACAGCAAGCTGGGGCTGGACCGGCTGGACAGCAAGTTGCTGGACAAGTCGCTCGACAAATCGCTGGACAAGTCGCTGGAACGTGTGGAGCGCCTGGAGAGGGCGCAGCCCGAGCGATACGTGCGCGCGGAGGCCGACGTTGGCTCCGGGCTCAAGTCTAACAGGGGGGAGGATAGACTCGAGGACGCGACTTCCAATGGTAAGTTACAATTCACTTCAGCTTAAATAACACTACGATTAACCGTAATATACATTATAAGGATATGTATTAATACGTTTGTTCCTGCAGGTCGGTCCCGGCCCCGCCTGCTGGTCCGCCTGTCCCTGTCCCGGCTGCGGCCGGACACGCTGCGCGCGCTGCAGCGGCCGGCGCGGCGCGCGCCCGTCAAGCGGCCGCACTCTCCTCTACCCGAGCAGGTACAACCACTTACTTTACTATACACTACAGTTTTAAAAGTACTACAGTCAGCAGAAGCAGGTTAAACATTCCTGGTAAAAAATAAGTGCTGCAAATCACATGATTATAATACGGAGCAAGTCTCATTAGACTCCTTTCTACTACAATGAAATACGGTTGAAATGCAAATACGGTTTTGTTACTTAGATTTTCCAAAACTCTTTCTCTGCTTTTACAAGCCATATAGTAAATACGATATACTTACAAATACTCCTGTGCAGGGTGGCGAGGTGGCGGCGACAAACCACGAGCGGACAGAAACGTACCCGGGACAGACTCCCATATACTTCTCATACTTCGAGAGACTGCCTGCCGACGCACTGTCCGACGAGGAGAGGGATCATAAGTAAGTCACATTCATATTATACATTGTTGTCAACAAGCACCTATAAATGATAATAATAATAATTGTACTTTTCGTCATAGCCAATAAAATATATGTAGTGTTTGCACAAAGCTATTTCTATCTTCATTTATTGACACAAAAATGAATATGGCGATATGGCATCATTTGACTATCGTGGGACTCATAACATAAATAGTAATTAGTGCTGTAATGTGCACCTCTGCCTACTTGTTCGGGGATAAAAGCGTATTGTTATGGAGATCGGTGTACTCATCAGCGTTTTAACCTTTCCCTCCGTAGGTACTACCTAGAAGAAGCAACGCGTCTCCGCGCGGCCGCCGAGAAGGAACAAGAACCTCTACCGCGCGTCATGCGTTACCTAGAGTCGGTACTATGCTTCGTTCTGACCGGGCGAGTGCTGGAGCTAGAGCTCGACACTAAAGGAGCCTTCACCATCTACCGAGAGACCATCGAGTACATCAAGAGTATACACTCCATGCCACAACGCTTCCGTGCCAGTCCGCACGATACCTTCAACAAACTGGATATACTAAGGTAACTGACAAAAATTATACGCCTATTTTAGACTTTATTGTCAAATGATGAGGTTGACAATACGTTTTCAATAGAATATACCATATTACAACTTGATAATTTTTGGTTTATTAGATTTTCGACTTTATTGCCAAATGATGGGGTTGAGAATCTATTAAAGAATTTTGATAGTTCAGGATAATAAATACAGATGCAATAAATTTATAATGTGTGTGCATTTCACAGTAATTCAATTACTAGTAATGTTCTAATGATAACATAATTTATCGATCTCTCATTTTAATAATTAAGTATGCTTGCTGTCTTCTGGGTAACGTCAGGTGGAACATATATGCTTTGTGGAATTTCGAAAAAGTATGAGCGAAGTCATAGTTACAAATACACCTTTTATTTATCATAGTATATGACATACTAAGTATCGCTTTCCATTCCAGTCTCCGAGTCCAAGCTCTCCTGTACCTGCGCATGTTCAAGATGTACAATCGCGAAGTGAAGGAGTACAACAAGATAGTCCACGAGTACCAACAGAAGGTACGTGCAGATGTCTGTATCGAATTGTCTTTTATTTTTATACCTACACCGCTATCCGCTAGCCGCCATCTTTGCTCACTTTCTTGTATAAGTTTGATATGATATTCTGAGTCCTATGATTTGAGGGTTAAGGTGAGATTTTAGATAGTAAATTCGCTATTTAATCCTTTTTAAATGTAAACTTCGAAATTTAATTCGGTTTTTTGATGACTAATGAGTGACCATTTAGATTTAACGTAGTAAAATAAATTGCTATACGAATACAAATGTAAGTCTTTATTCTGTAAATTTTCTTTAATAACTTTTGCAAGTCACTTTAAAAAGCTAGACAGTCCTAAATAAAACACCGAAACAAAGTCGGAGTCAAAGTTTTTAGAAAACAAATACATTATACGTTTCGTCCACTAGATTTAGACGAAGGCTCTCAAAGAATTGAGTCTAACTAAATCTAAGGTGTTTTAGAAAATGTTTAATCATTTCGCTATTTATCAACCTGTTCTCGTCCATTGCTGGACAAAGGCAAATCCAATGGCGCGTCACTGAGCTCGATCTTCAGCTCTACGCATCCAACCACTACCAGTCACTGTCAATTTCGCCACTCCATCTAGCTGTTTTTCGCAATTAAATGATATCATTCTTACATTGGACTCAGAATATCACATTGACCTTTAAGATCTTTTTGCTTTGCACATTTACTTGTTTACGTTTTCTGCCTAACTTCTTCACAATTCAGTATATTACCTGTATCCATTATCTTAGTTCATATTGTAAAATCGAAGATTAATATATGTTGGTGCTTTCATAGCGCTTCTTTTATACAAATTCATGATATTCCAAATGCAACGTCTTGTCTAAAACCTCTTTTATTTTAAATAAATATATTTTAGTAAGTTTTGTAATTTGTATAATGCATCAAGCGTGTCTTTGCATTGTTCTCACATAATACGTACAACATTGGAATATGTATCAGAGACATTGTAGAACATATATTTTTTAAAAGAGTAATGATTAGAGTTTCTTGCTCATTCTTCTCCATTCGAATCTACATTTTGGAATGAGCTGACTGACTGACAGACTATTATTTATTTTGTATTTGTTGACGTTTCAAAAGTACCAAATTATGGTTTAATTGAAATAAATGCTTTGACTTTGACTTAATTTAATATATGGAAACTTGTGTGTAACCAATGTCCAAATACTCAAACGCCACTCAATTCTAAGTAGCGTTGTAGTGTAGTTCTGTCACAACAAATTCTTTGTAAAACGACAGAGATGGCACGATATTTAAGTACAACTTACATTTGAGTAACCTTTCAGTATTCGGGTGTAACACACTCTTTTCTTAAGATTATTTTACATACGAGGTATTTTCTATTTAAATAAATAATGGATAATATAAATAAAACAGGCTAAGAAACTTAAACGAGTGATCTAACATCCTAATAGTCACCTTTACTAAACAATCGTGGGTTTGGTGCAATCAACAAAATGTGTATATATAAAAGATATTCGACTTTATGTAGTGTTTTTTATTTGTTTTATGAATAATAATAAAAAATATATTACAATTTATTTTTTATTATGAAAACAGACATATTCATTTATGTCGTAACGTTTACAGGATTATTTACAAAAACATATTAAGTATGTACTTGAATAAAACTTATCATTTATAGTAATTATAAAGTGAGTTTGACCAACTTGAGTAATTCAATTAAATGTTCTAAAGACATTTCAAGTTCAATGTATAAATTAGTTTTTTCTAATTTCCTTTCCGTTTATTCATTGAATCACCAAGCTTTTTTCTCGTTAAATTAGGGCTACAATTGCAGCGAATGTTTATTTTTACTTTTTCTTCTCCCGTAGCCGGCGCTAGCGGAGTCTGTATCCCCGCTATCCCCGACCCCGTCCCCCGCGGGGTCGGTGGGGTCCGTGGGGTCTGGGTCTGCATCGTCCGGGTATTGTTCCCTGGCCCACTCGGTCCCTGCGCACGCGCACCAAGCGTTGTTGCTCCTCAACAAGTACTACGCCTTCCTGTACGTCGCGCACGACCTCTGGGAACAAGCTGATTCCTTGTGTCGTCTCAGGGCTAATAGAGGTAATTAAAACTTAACTGAACTATAAAAGACATAATAAAATAATTGTTGAATAAAATTACTCCTAAAGAAATGGGTAACTTTATTGAATCATAACAAAGGAGATTTGTTTTTCTAAACATTATTCTGTACTAATTCTTATTTGTCTAAATTAATTTAATATTTAAGTGTGTGGTTGGGTTCGAAACCCACTTGTAAATTATTTTTGTATGTTCCATAAGTCAACGTTTGGAATCTTTACAATACGTATTTAAAAATCTGTGACAAAAGCAGCTCCCTGATATATAATGGCGGTGGTTCCAGATCTGTTCATAGCCGTGGACCGCAAGTGCGGGCCGCTGTCGCTGTCGTCGACGTTCCGCCACCTCGTGCAGTACGTGCGCCACGCCATCTCGCTGCTGAAGCTGGCGCCGCGGGACTGACGCCGCGCCGCCCGCCACTGGTAACCAGACCCTATCTCCGACGCATAAGCACCAAAATCCAACACACTGTGACACGCAAAACTACCTATAAAGCACTCCTTTATACGTAGTCTTGCATTACATTTAAGATTGTCAAAACAAATTGTTAGTATGTGTTAGTAAACTGCACTCGTGATTTGGGCAGTTCTGATTTAATAAACATATCCTTAATTGAATGATAATGGATATTTTCTGAAGTGCGTTTACTAATACAGACATTTTGTCACAGTATGTGTGTTCGTAGCGATCTGTATGTGCTATTGTAGTTAGGTAACTTTGGATGATTGAGTGCATGCGCATCGCTACGGTACTAGTTCGGTGCTCGCATTTACTTGGAGATACTGGGCCGCACCAGTCGGCGAGATGTATGATAAACTCAGCAATATTTACCGAAGAGATGATGGTAACATTACCTACATTGAAACTATCCCTGTATATGAAACCGGTTCCGATGCATCGGTTACCTCGCAGCGAGCCACGAGAATGCGAGAGTAACGCGGACAGATCCGCTGTGTCACTCGACAATATCACTCAACTCAAGTCTTCGCATTTCGTTCTCTTCCCAAATCGATGACCAAAAACAAAATGTAAAAATTTGTAAGAAAATTGTAAATAAGGCATCGTTGCGTAGCAACGGGCGAGCGAGTCCGATTTGATTACCGACTCTGTATCATAAGTGATAGACTAATCATATCTTAAGTGTTTTGCGTTGTAGTTTTACTTCCCTACCAATGGAAACGTTTTACTGTCGGGAACACATATACGAATTGCTCGTTTGTTAGTGTAATGGGAGCTATACGACAAAAATAATTTTTTGATCGCATGTGGGCCAATCGAGTATATTAATATAACTCAACATGTATGGGATCACTTGTAGGTCTTCGCAATAATTTACAGATTTATACTTTCGCAATGTTCATTTACGCGAGTGACGTGCGTGTCATTTGTTTTATAATTTAGTTTAGATGTATAATTGTAGTGCAACGACTTTAGTATCGGGGCGATCTCCAACACATTCGGGAACTATACAGAGCTGCGCGGCGGGAGACATGGCGGACGGTGGATAGGCGGATACAACACCAACTAGCTTAGATTATTGATTATTACGATATTTTAAAAGAACGTTGAATAAGGTGCAATATGCAATATCGACGCACGAAACTAAATTGACTGTGACTAGGCAATGAAGTGATATTTCATCTACCTCATGAAATAAGGTCGCTACTTAACATAGAGTCCGCTCTATACGTGTATTCACTATGCTTCCGCACTACGAGACTTCCAAACGGCACGACACACAATGACTTACACTTGTAATATGAGAATGAATTGAACGATATCTTAATGAAATTGATCCGATTGGCTGAATTCCAAGTCATTGTTAGGAACTTTGATAGTTATACTTTATACTGGCATTCATGGACTCATGAAGCCAAAATTATCGTTGTGAAAATTAAAGACGCTAGCTGCAGTTTTAAGGAATTAAGTTAAATTAATTTAGATGATGTAACACGCCCGCCATGGCTCAGCGCCGCGCAGAGAGCGAACAATCCGCCGGGACACAGGTTCCCAGTAACACACGTCATAGGTAACAGAATACTTACTGAACAATGATTGAGCAAAACCCTGTTTATGATCATGTCTTAATATAAACATTTTTTCGTATACATATCAAATAATTTGGGGACAAATCAGGTAGTTTCATTATGAATGTAATCAATGGCGATCTATATAATTTTGTACGCTTAGAAATGGTAAAGTACGCGATCAAGACAGTCGTTGGTCTCTGATCATCGCATTATACACATTATTTGGAGTGACAATAATACTCTGCTAGGGGAGCTAGATTCGTTTATATGTAAAGTCCACTGCCCTTCGGAACGCGACGCAACGCGAGTTCGTCGAGTGCAATCCTGAACAAATCAAAATGAATATTCCTTTCGTTTTATAATAAAAAAAGTTCAAAATATATTTTAATGAATACTTTTGAAGAGTACAATATATGCTTGACATGAACAGATTTGACTCTGCAACAAAGTGTCCGTAACACCAATATATTATATATTCCTCTCGGTTGTTTATCAAATTTATGTTGTGATTGTATATACATAATATTATTATATTATACATTTTGTAATGAATATACATGTTAGTGCCAGATAGGTTTTTGTATGAACGTTTATAGTAAGAGAGGTGAGGGGGCGATCCGCCGGCTACATGTCTTAAGGAGCGACTAGAGATGCCTTGTACATAGTATAATGTAAGAAATGTGTAGTTTTCACTCTATATTTTAATTTATATGTAAACTATATTTATAGCTAAGCGGACAAGGAGAAATTAACATAATAATGTTTGTATAATGGTGCGTGTTTCGATGTGAGGCCTGGCGTGAGAGTGGACTACGAGTGTACGTGAGCTTGCAGCGTTCACTTCTAGTGTTTGTACATTGTACATTGTGCACTGTACATTGTACACTGTACATTGTACACTGTACATTGTGCACTGTACACTGTACACTGTACATTGTACACTGTACACTGTACATTGTACGTTGTAGGTTAGTGGGAGCGGTCGGCGAGTCTCGCGGCACGTTACCAGCTAGTTACCGCACTGGGCCACTACCAGCGCATACTTCAATACTTAACGTCCGTCCGTACGTTCACTCGCTCAGTGACTACATAAACACTGGTCAGCAAACGCAGTGCTCCACAAAGCAATAAATACTTAAACTCAAGAGCACCGCCAACTGAAGTGCCTCTACTGTCCACGCATAGACATACATCACACAAATAGTGCCGGGAATATTTCCAAACAAAGATAAAGTAAGTTTTATAGCAATTCTTCAAAATCGAGACTATATTCTGTGTGTTCAAATATGCCAAGTGAAATTGTCACTTGTTGTCGGGAGTCGAATTGATATGTTTTGGACAGTTCTGGTACATTTATGACCAGTGTCGTGTGGACACAGACTAGTGTTGAACGTACAGGATGTATTTATTTAACGTAACGTTTATTTCGTTCGTGTTAATTCGAAATATTCGCAGCAACATTAACATAGTCTCGTCACCGTCGGTACTTACACCCGCACAAATGTTTTAATTTAAATTTTAGTTGATTATTTAATTTATTGTGGCATTGTATTACTTTTAATTTTACTGCACATGATGCGAAGTTTACTTAAATTGTAGAAGTTATTGCGAGGCGTTATATCAAAGATCTGGCAATGTCGAGTCGAGCGACTTCACGCGTGACGTCGCCTCGGCTTGTCGACTCGTGGTAATTGCAAACATTGCTTTTTATTTATTATTTTCAATCAAAATCATAAATTTCATCTCGTAAGGGAACTCGCGTATATGTACTTGGTTTTTGTTAATCGTTATAGTTCGTAATGAGTTATAATACAATTATTATTATTATTTTTGTTTTGTTGCTTATTTTTTGTGGTTAAGCTATTATTTTGGCCTTAATATTAAAAGTATCACAAAATTACCATTGACAAAAGAACTGTGATCAATATTTTACTTACAAATCCACAAGTTTTAATCTTAAATGAAGAATCGATTACTTAATCTCCCCACTTTTGATGTTGTTGAAGTTGTTTAGGTCGGAGTGACCTATAGAGTGCGCCACTAGCGGACTGGCTTACTTATTAAGTTGTCTAAGTCCCCCCCCCCCTGTAGTGTCAATGGATTACTTAATTACATTAGTTCTTCCCCCGTACCTACGGGTACCATATTCTGACCACCTTGAGGTACATCCTAAATCTCAAATGAGCCTAAAATTGAAACCAAATTGACAATTAATATACTAAGATGATGAACAAGTGAGCGCTGGTTAGGAAGCATTAGGCGATTGTTTTAGGAAATTGTAAAATACTGTTTTCTTTTTTAATAGCATCTTGTGTTGATAGCATGTATAATTTGTTTTTTTTTTTTATTCGCGTTAAGAATTATGTATAAATTTGTTTTCCTTTAATTTTATTATTTGTGTAACTATACCTTATGTTATTGATAATAGAATACATTAATTTTATGTATCGATTTATATTTGTTTCTTTATTTTACCTTTTTCCTTTTGGTTGAGCATGTGTGTGTGGCTAGCAGACTCGATAGTCAGTCAGTCAGTCAGTAGTGCGTGGGCGGGTAGTGGATGCGAGAGAGTCGGACGCTTTAGTTAAGTCATAGTGTAATACAAAATGCCTTTCGTCAATTTTGCCATTTCGAGACACCATGTCGCCGCAGTCGCGCGGCCCTACAAGCTATTGCAATAATATCGTTCAGCGCAGATGTGATCGTCAGTAATGCCTTATAGCAAGTGTCTTTCAGCTGCAGATTTTAGAGTAATTTTGAAGCAGTATATACAGTATGTACCGCGGGCCCGGTGCAGCGCGGCAGTAAGTCAATCTATGTGAGACGGACGCGCTTTACATTAGACCTAGAATATAACTCGCGACTGTACATAAGTAGGATATAATACGAGGTACCTGTATACACCGCAACACCAATACCTACTTATTGCAGATATATTTATACATCAAAATATCATATTTATACATCGGCTTCTACACTATATTTTAATAAATAGTCAATGTTTTGTTGATCGGTTATAACGTAATTATAAATAAGATTTAATACATAATGTTGGTGTTAGATTACCTAGGTTAACGATACAAAGTACAATGGTATGTAGTTACTGAAATATAATGAAAAGCAATAATATTTTAGTCGAGTGACTGGAGGCGGCGGCTTCCAGGCTGTTAAAGGCCAGGAGACATGCGCTAGCATACGCTTCCACTACTGAGCAAGCGTTAAAGGAGTGGTACAAATAATGGAGATATAAAGGATTGCGTAAATGTCTTGTTAAACTGCCTACAACTGTCGCCGCTGTACCGCGCCCGAGGTACGAACACAGTTTGCAGAGTATATCAATTATAAAGCTAATATATGAGTATATTTGTACGTTAGTCTGTGTGTCGTCGTTAGATTCGTGTTGGACCGCTGCAAGCTCCTCGCTGCGGGCCGCGAGCCGGCCCTAGCAACGCGCTTTGTATACGATAGATGTAATAGTTTTGCGATACATATGTTTATGCAGCGATCACCTGATCAGTTAGATAATTCATTCATAGTACTTTCACTTATATTTATAGTTGACGTTAATGCTTTAGAGTAGGTTATAATCGACATTGTGCTTTACTAAGAGGCTAGTAAGGTTCATATTAGTAATTACACAGTTGTGTTCATACTTTGCAGGAACAAAACACACAAGTTTATATGATGGTCAAATATTACTAACTGTTGTTAGTCTAACCATAAAATTACAACACAACATTTAAACATACTTATTATATACTTGAAAATGAATTGCAAACAGTACATTGATGAGATGTAGTAGATAAATGTGTTCAATACAGCAATATAAAGCAGTTATTAAATTCGGCAAATATTATAAAGTTGTCTAAGAACTTAATATTATTATTAATTATATGTTATATAGAGCAAATATTGTTATTATTACATTATATATTATGTTATTACCCTTAGCCGGTTGTGGAGCGGAGATAAAAAGCAATCCATGTAATATAAGAATTCTATGGAATCTGTATAAGACTATGACCACAACCTAGTCGGGTAAAGACTAAGAAAAAGATAAATAATGCCATTGTTTTTATTGTTATTCTATAGCCACTTAGAAAAGCACAATGTCTCAGTTACTAAGACATCACATCACATTAAAATATGCTTAATTAAATATTTCGGGAAAATAAAAGAAAGAGTGCCTAATAAAATAGGTATCGATATCGATTAACAATTACGTTAAACAAGCCACGGAAAAGTCGATAAAAGTTTTATCGATAAGTTACAAGTCGCATCCTTATTGGTTATTTTAGTTACAATTTCTTGTTTATTTATGATTTAAGTAGAAAAAATGTTTGTTCGTTGATATCAACTATAGGTATAGGTTTGAGACAGGCGAATCCATTGCAAATCTTCAATTAATTCCATGAAATTAATGTTTGTGAAATTTTGTGAAAAGAAACTTAGTTGTTATGAAGCCAATAATTTAATTTCGCTGTTTATCCGACTTCTTTATAAATAAACAATAATTTCATTTTAGTTATACAATTATTTGTCATATTAAATTAACACCAATAGAAATAACACCAACATGGCTATAGCTATAATGAAATTATTTGTGATTTATGAATGAATATATCACAGTATATTTTTGTTTAAGTTCTGTACTCAAGTAGTGGTTCCGTAATCAACAAGAGCTTAATCAAAGCAAGCGAAACATTACCTTAGTAAAATATTTAAAGTATTGCCTGTTAACAATATTATAGTTACTGTTATCATTGCTATACCTAATTAGAAGTTTATTGTAATCATTCATTTACCAACAACAAATTAATATAGATGTTACATTAAGATAGTTGACACTGCAACCCTGCAATTTTATACACCAAGCAATTATACTATAAGTTACCGTAAGCAAGCCATTAAAACACAAACGTTGTATATTCTAAACTATCGACGGAATTCTAAATTGAATGTCGTATATAGTAACGAATTGTATGTACTCGCACATTGAATATTTTTGCAGTGATTTTGATACGACGACCTGTATTGAGGAGTACCTTCACAACACTCCCAGCCTTGGTGTGAGAGGGGAATTGAATTCGTTTATTTTAGATTTAAATATGTAAAGTTCAAATGGGAAATTTAAATTGTGCCTTAGTGACAAATCGTTTAGCCTCCAATTTCGTTTGGAATCTCTCGAGAGACGTGGTTAAGAGATATGTTGTTTTTCATCAGTGTCGATCGGAATCAAATACGTTCTGATACTCACTGCACTGTACAGTACTCGCACTATGTAAATGCTATACAGTGGTTTACTGAAAACCCCTTCCGGAGTTATAGTTGAACTAAATTAATGCAATAATATTTAAACAATATTTTTGTTTTATTGGATGTTGTGATTGATTATATTTACAATTATATATTATACGTAGAGCAGTATGTATATGTCGTAGCAATAACTTTAAGTGTGGCAATAAGATATAGTGCATTTGCTTTTGTGTCTCGAGTAAATAAATGAAACGATGTATATGCATAGAGTACTCAGTGGCGACTAGTCGAGCCGGCGCTGTACACTGCTTACATCATCATGTACGTACAATAAGTTCAAATTCTTGACGTTTTAAAAATATATTTATATTTTATAATGTATTATCTCTCAAGTGAAAGTAATTAGTTACGTAGTGAATCGAATGTATGGAGTATTGTGTGTCCGGTCAATGTTCGTTACGTTCAAGCGCAGCGCGGCTAGCCGCAGCGCTCCCGCAGCGTGGACGCTCCGAGGACGCCGCGTGAGCGCTGCAGCTACGCGGCGCGCCATGTTGAACCTACTTTCTATACGAGTCTGTCGCTTACATCGCACGTTTCCTCTCACTGTCCTCTCTCTTGTGTTACTACATGTCCGAGACAAATTATTAGCGTAAGTCAAAGTGCCAAGAGTCGCGAATCCTTTCCTAAGTCCAATTCCTTCTCAATTACTCTGTACCTACCCGTATATGTATGTACGTCAGTTAGTTCACGCACACACGACGGACGTGTCGTCTCGCTTAGCCAAACTTGTCTATTACTACGGGATACTTTTAATTAGAAACAATTTTATTATTGTAACGTTCGAGCTTTAGCAAAGTTGCGTGTGTCTACAAACTGTTGAACGTGTCGTTATGTTTGTATTGTTTAATATTTCCTTCTCTCACTTCCTTCCACCATTTTGAAAGTGTCCCGCAAGTCAAAGTGAGAAAATAATAGTGTATAAATTAACGAATCCCATAACGTTTAACTTAACGATACTAGCAGCTAATGTTAATGATATTCTAAATTATGTTTTGTAGTGGATGTTTTATTCTCGATATGATAGCGTAAAGTACGGAGGTGGTCTTCGTATGTTAACAAATATTAGAGCAAATGTAAGTGGCGACCTCTCGCGGTGGATTCGTGGGGATGTGATAGGTAGCGAATCGGTCGCGAGGGTTCGAAGCCGGGGCGGTGCCTGCGCCACGCCTCAATCCCGGGACAGGGCGGGGAGCAGCGCACCGCGCTAGTAAACCGACGTCGGGCCTTCGCTGTAACACACATAGCGGCACGAGCCGATGTTACGTACATTTGTAACGAGTAGAACGCGTGTATTAAAATAAGGGACAAACAAATTATAGTATAAAATTGTTTACCAGACGCCCCGTATCGGGCGTTAGACGAAAATATTATTTTTCTTAGATCACATTATATTGTAATAAAATGGTATAGAAGTATGCGTGCGGCTGTGCGTCGGGGCAGCGATGCGCGCGCACAGATTAAAAAATGTTATTTTTTTACGAGCGCGGCAACACGCCTCCCGGACGCAACGCAAGCACTCGTATTTGTTATGTTTAAGAGGAAATATCTATTGTCTATTCCAAGGGTTGAATAACTACCAACACTTTTTTATATTACAATAATTATAGAAATTATTATTGAATCTGTCGTTTCCTTTCACTCTTCTATTTACCCTACCTCACATACCTACTGCATATAGTTAGTAGAATACATATGCAAGTACATAAGTATTCTACTAACTATCACACAATTTTACAGATCCTTGGTATTCTAGATACATACTACTATTGCTTTTGACTTACAGTGGTACAAAATCTTTCATACTTATCATAAACAATACTGAGAACATAAATCAAATATTGCCCAAAGCAAAGACACACTGAATCGACAAGTATGGTAAAAATATCTTCGGTAAGTATCTTCAGTTGTCCATGCAAATAAAAGAAGGGGTGCAGGTAAAGGCGGATCAAACTTGCGTCCTAAGCAAGCACCTCATAGGCGCCTAATTGTTTTTGATGCCGCAGCCACTCTGGGCTTGAACGTCTCGCGGTGTCTGGGCGCCCTAGGCAAGTGCCTAGTTTGTCTTAGGGATAATACAGTGCAGTGCAGGTACATACTTGCTCACCATTGAGAAAGGTACAATATAATACTACTTCACGACCGACACCAACCATTCTACATCAGCATCAACCACGAGCGCAGGGAGGCAGGCGGACGCTGCATCAACACATCAAATGTCTAAGATAGTCAGTAAACTATCTCCAAGACACTTTGCCATAGTCTTCATGCTGCGCAGGCGGCTTGAAGATCGCAGTTTAAGAGGTTCAGGTTTATCAGAGAGCGCTGTTGCTCTGTCTCTTTTATATGTGTAGTCCCATCATCGTCATCAACAACAGGCTATAAGTGCCCACTGCTAAGCCTCTTCTCACACGATGAAGGTTTGAGCAGTAATCACCACGCTTGATCAATGCGGGTTGCCGATTTCAAACTTATAATTATAACTTACTAGCGACCCGCCCCGGCCTCGCACGGGTGCAATATGCATGTATTATACATATAAACCTTCTTTAAGAACTGTTCTATCTATTAAAAAAAACCACATCCAAATCCGTTGCGAACTTTTAAAGATCTAACCATACATAGGGACAGACAGACGGCGGATAGCGACTTCGTTTTATACTATGTAATGATGATAAGCCCAGGTTTCCTGACGATGTTTTCCTTCACCGTTTGTCAGTGATGTTTAAATAATCTTAGAAAGTACGTACAACGTTTTAAACCTCCCGGCCACCATGACATAGTAGTCCCATAGTGGCCATAGTTGACCTTTATCTGCGACTCTCGAAAAAAGCAAGGATACTGAGCTAATGTAATTTTACCATGCAGTCACCACATGGTCTAGCACGAGCAATAATATGAAACAGATCTAGGAAGCACCCAAAGAGTATAATAAGTATAGGGGAAGAAGAGGCGCGACGTGCAGGAGAAGGAACGGGGTGGTTTTAGTCAGTAAGAGTCTGACACTCCCTCCCGCCTCACCCAGGCGGGAGCAGTCATTCGATGATTTTCCTCTTTTTTTTAAGGAGCACCTCTCGTTTTCAAGATTACTGCTATAGGTTGGACCTTCTTGATTTAGAGGCATTGAATGCAGGATTTGTAAGTTGGTTAGGACAAAGTCAGGCTTATTGTCACTTAACAATGAATTGTACAAAAATGAATATTAGTTTGCATCAGAATGTATTTGACATTTTACAAAAGCACTCTTCCATCCAAAGGTCAATCCCACACCCTGTCCATCAATCAGAAAATATGTCTTTATGGGGGGTGTGGGGAATTTTTTTAATAAGCTGGGTACTCGCTTAGCTGTGTAACGTATTAGATACGGTATCAAGTGAGTATGTAGGCACGAGCCTGCTCGGGCGTGGAGAGCTGTAAGCTCGCAGTGACCCGCCGAGCGGCGGTTTCACTGCGAACACAAAGGCGGCTTGCAGTGTGCTCGTGGACGGCGTGACGACCGCTTGCCGCTTGTATAGTGAGTACGTACGCGCGAGCTTCAAACGAACTTTACGTATTCAATTATTCCGGTTCATTTGCGGTTTACCATATTCCAGTATTGTAAGACACTAAAAATAATAATCTTATATCTTATCGTATACTACTATATAAAACGGAAGAGTTTGTTTTTTGTTTGTTTGTTTGAACGCGCAAATCTCCGTAACTACAATAGTCTGATTTGAATAATTATTTTTGTGTTGGATAGCGCATTTATCGAGGAGGGCTATAGGCTATAAAACATCACGCTACGACTAATAGGAGCTGAGCACAGCGTGTGAAACCGCGTGGAAGTAGCTAGTTACTACAAAAAACTAAAAGTGGATGCTTGACATGTTGTCGGCGTGACGTCGTTGCGAGTAATGCGGATCTGGTAGTTCGTAGCTAGATACACGGAGGACCGTGGACGAATCGTACAAACTTGCAGGTTAATACCGTATCTGATACGTTGCGTGCTACACTGCTAAGTGGGTACCCAGCTTTGGAACCTCTAGTTCTTGGAATATCGCAAGGTTTTAATGTGGACTTTGAAAAGACTGGTCGTAAGCTATCTAAACTAAGTTGGAAGTTAATTGAGGGAGGCGTATGTTGACGTCTTGTACTGATGATTAATAGACATTATATCATAATCATATATAAGGTTAAAATATACAAATGAAAAACATGGTTTAAAATATACAACAATATATTTATTTTTTAATTAGTCCTGTATTATTAGTCCTGGTTCCGTACATGCTTCTTTTTCTTCTTCTTCTTCTGTGAGTGTGCTTCTATGAGGTCATCGATTTCTTTACTGTCGTCGCCTAGACGTTTCTCGCCGCTAGAAATTATATAAAAATTATTAGAGATAGATAATGAGAAGGTTTAAGTAACCGTATGTATCAGTCTGACGTGAATTGTCATTATACACATAACATAACATAGCATCACGCATTTTTATCCCCGAAGAGGTAGGTAGAGGTGCACATTACGGCATTTAATGCCACTGTACAATATAACACCCACTTTTCACTATTTATGTTATGAGTCCCATGTAATAGGGGGTGAGCCTATTGCCATATACTGAGATTTTTAAAAAATCCTGTAATACTTTGCCCTACCAGGGAATCTAACATATATTTGTCCTAATCATAATTTAACGTGTTTTAATACCAAAAGGGGTAATCAGAAGTCCATATATACATATACAAATGCAACTGCTACTTCCCACTAGTGACGTTATTAGTCCAATGGCAATTTGGTATTTTAATTGGAGATGCCAATTAGTTAGTAATCCCATGTGCTGTCGTCACTTAATTTTAAGTGGCGCTTAACACATTAAATGCCGTGATGGACAATGATGGCCGACGCTAGCGAAGGATTAGCTTTTAACGGTTTTTGTCGACAGGTAAAGGCTTAAGTATAGTTCTGTCACTATAAATTCTTTGTAAAATGACAGAGATGGCACGATATTTAACTACAACTTATAAAATTTAGTAGCCGTTCAGTATTCGGGCCTGGTATAGAGAGAAACTCGAAACAATATCTGAGAATTCGAAAATCCGAAAACCTTAGTCTGTGTTGGAGACGACCGATACCGCAATTATTTATTTATTTATTTATTTTACACTTTAATGCACACAAAATAAGGTACATAAGGAGGACTTAATGCTATATGGCATTTTCTCCCAATCAACCTTTGGGTTAAATGTAAGCTCAGCGAAAATGGGCCTGTGTAATATCAAAAAAAAACAAAATAAATAACTAATAGTAATAATAAATACTGTATAACATACTGTATAAAAATATATAATAAACACAAAATATGTACATACATAAATAACTTCATATATATAATTATAATATAATATAAATTGACGAAGATATAATTTAAAGAAGACACGAACTCAGCGTTGTAGCGCCTTTAAATAATTTATTCTTAAAACTTATGACCATAGACGCAGTTTGTTAAAAATATCATATAATTATAGATAAACTAGCAAACCCGGCGAAATCCGTTTCGCCACCAGCTGGCTTCGTTTTATGTAACATTTTATTTGGTGATTAAAAGTCTTTGCTATGAACCTCACGGAGCCCGAGACTTTCCCAACGAATGCAAAACCGTCGAAATCGGTTCGTGCGTTCTGGTGTTATAGCGCCAGAAAGGAAATCCCGACTTATTTTTATATAGTAGATTAAAAATATACCTCTTGACGGAAACCAGTTGTTTTTGCTTGGAGCCGGCGAGGGCCTGTCCCCAGTCGAGGTCGCTGCCCTTGATACGATACTGTGCCAGATCCTCGCCCATCAGACGAGACAACTCCTTACGTTGTTTGCGCTCCAATTCCTGCAAAATATTACGTAATAATTTAACTTCGGGTAGTATAATTATAGTGAAGCAATAAATTATCGACTTTATCGCATAATTATAATAAGGTTGTAAGTTCAAATAGTGATGTATATTTGATGTGAACCTATGCTAGCGCCAGACGGCTCATATTCAAATAATAATTTAATTGACTACACGGTAGGCGTCATGGCTAGGCAATCGACTCCTGCGCAATCTGCTACCAATTCAATTTTCAGAAGGGATATACCACCACACCACGCAATAAAATTGTGGTATTTAGTGTAGGGAATTGTTACAAAATTAGTCATTTCCATGTTGCAAATCACTATTTTCACATTAAAAACCAAAATTAAATTAATAAAAAAACTACCTCATTAAAGAAATTCATTTATTTCTAAACCACACAACTACAGACACAACTATGAACCCAAAAGCAATTACCTTGGCAGCTTTAGACAATTCGTCCTGCAGGCTCTGTTTGACGGGGCCCATGGTGACGTCATCCGTATTCTTATCTTCAATACCGATTTCCTTCGCCACAGTATCTTCTAGAACTGCGTTGATTACTGTAGTTAGCTTCTTGCAAGCTTCGAAGAACTTCGCTAAGATCTGCGAGCCTGGTAGCCCTAGTTCCTTTGCTATGTCATCCACGTCTTTCATTTGGAAACCCATTGCTATGAATATTACCTGAAAATTGAGATTTTGTTTTTGTAAAAGCGACTGTAAGGTACGTTTTTCGATAACATTGATAATCCTAACA